AGTCCCTTCCTGCTCTGTCCTTCTGTCACATGGGTACTTACTCTCCATCACATCAGGGTGTTACATTAGAGAAGACTTATTCTCATGGGCTCATAATTGACCGACCACAAATTCTTTTCTGTTACTTTTTCTCTTGATTATGACCAGATTGTTGATTTCAGTCTCAGTGCATTGATGTCTGTCTTCTGTTTTCCAACAACTGCATGCCTTTCCCTGGAAAAGCTCCAGCCAGTCTTTGCACCTGAGCTGTGATATAAGAAGGACAATGTCTGGCTGGCCTGAAGACACTCGTCCGCCACTGCCTCTTCCAGGGAAGCTGCCAGATGCAGAGTAGGAACACACTCAGGAGCAGCTAGGAGCCTGGCTACACTGGGAGCAGTAGTTTCCTGAGCAAATGGTTTGCTTGATCAAATGAACAAAACGAGGGGCTTCTGTCTTTTCACTTGAACTTGTTTGTTCACATTTTTACCTACTTGTTTTCAAGCATAGCCCTCCAATTCATGCCACAGCCACAGTAAAAATCCCCAGCAAACAAACCAAACTCATGCCATCTTCCATCAGCGGCTCACGGTTAAAGATGCTGAAGGCAGATCAGAAATGGAGGCAGAGACATCCCAAAGAAGATATATGTGGGATTCATGGAACCAGCAGGAGCACTCATCCAGAAAACCATGACTGTGTTCAATGCTCATCTCTGACAATTCCTTGGGAGTCTGAGAGTCCTGTCCTTAGAATGACTGCTCTGTCCTTAAAATCCTCTGAGGCCAAAGAGGAGATAAAGAGGAAAACAGGCAGGTAAGTGCAGTCGGGGGAAATGTATTGAGCCTCAAAATGCTAAATCCAAATTCAGTCTAGAGCCAGACAAGCAGCAGAGAATTCACCTTGGAGGATGTGGTTGAGCTGAGGCAAGGAAAAGCAGGTTGTTAGAAAAGGAAGCTGTGCCAGATGATGAGGCTTCAAGGAGAACAGCATAAGCAGATAAATGATAGGAGGCACATTAATGGACTGTGGTGTACCCAAAAGCCACAAGAGGTAGCACTGGAGACATGATAAGGCCTGGGAGCTCTTGCTCTGAGCTTTTAAGTGGAGTCGTCTGAAACAAGTGCCAGGTTTGTACCTAAGAGCCTCTTCACCTGCAGTGTGGGCTTACAGGAGAAACCAACTGTGAGTGTGAGGAAGCCTAGTGCTCATTCCTCCATCATCTCTATGTTTCTCCTGGTTTCACATACTGGCCAGTGTTGAGACTCCTTAGCAGCTTTTGTAGAATGTATATAAATATAATGAATGCCATTTTGCTTCCATGCCAAGGCAATGGAAACTGAGTTCCCATGCTCCTTCTTCTGCAGCACCTTTGAATGCCTTTTCTTAACTGTGGGGAAATAACAGAATGGGCAGGGTGTTCATCACTAGAACATCACATTAAGCTGTTCTCCAAATGAGGATATATTTATCTTGCATCACCTTACAAAAGTTATGCCTACAAGATTCCTCTAACATAAGAATAAGGCAGCCCAGTCCCCCATAAGATCAATAAGGCAGACACAGTTTCTATTTTTCCTTGCACAACACAATAATGAAATGAAATGGAACATGTTGACCAGCTAGACCAATCATCTAATCAATGATTTTAAGAGTACAAGGTACTAGACTCTGATAGGAGTAAAGAAACCAATAAAATTCAAAATATATTTAAAAGGAAAAACGGCCAAGGTTTGGTAACTTAGTTGTGGTGGGGGAGGTGACAGAAAAGAGAGGGAGAGAGAGAGAGAGAGAGAGAGAGAGAGAGAGAGAGAGAGAGAGAGAGAGAGAGAGAATAGCAGAAGGGTTTTATCAGTCATAGAAGCAGCATGATGAAATGCCACCTGGAGAAGAAGGTATGGTCGCTTTGTGGATATTGACTTTAATGTGGTGAACCTACGTGGGGATATATGCCAACCATTCACTTGTATGAAACCCTGAGAAAAAAGAAAAAAAACTGGGTGAGAAATAAGCACATTTGTGCTAGCTGTTTGTGAGTGATGAATAAATTATGAGGGTGGATGAGTTTGGCAGAAAGAGTAAAAACCAGAGTCAAAGGAAGAATCACAGGATGGAGAGAATTCCCAAGGAAGACCTAGGAGTAGTGATGTGAGGGTATCCACAGCAGATCAAGCAGCCCCGGTTCTCCAAAGACAGAGGTCAATGAGTCTAAAGAAGCCCTGAAGAAACTGCTGGAGCTCTCCAGCTGAATGAAGGCCACCGAACATTTTTACTCTCTTTGGCAGTTGAATTTAACTGGCAATGAGAGTGAAAACAATTCCAACAGAGTTACAAAAGGACACTGACATAGTAGAGACACTGAACACTAGCTGTTCTTCTTGACATGCTGTATGTGAAATGAAGAAGGAGACCTGAGACTGTCTGGAGTTAATTCAAACAAAAGAGGGAAGTTTTGTGTGTGTGTGTGTGTGTGTCCATCATTAGATTGTGCAGTCATGTGCAGTGGCCACTCATCTCCCCATGTGGAGATCAAACACCGGAAACGCATCGGTTCACACTGAGATGTTCCAGAAATTAAAATTCACACTGGTGTCTAATGACCAAGGACTAAGATGTGACTATAATAGATCTCAATGATTATTTTATACAAGACACGCATAAAATTGATGAACTATAGGGTAATTAGGGTAACTATTTCACTAAATTTAATTTCATGCAATTTGCTATTCTTTAATATACCCAAATGAAAGTAAAAACTCACATGTGTAACTTATTTTATATTTCTGTTGTGTTATACATATCTGAGCACATTGTAGGCTGGTAAGAATCTGTGATAGACAGAGGTCTATAACAGTTCCCAAGACTCCTACCTGTACAGTCCTTCTTTCTGAGTCCAAGAAGAACTACTGAGTCTGACTAGATGCTTGCCTCTTTACCAGAGCACAGTCTCATAGCCTTTGAGTAAATAAGATGAGAGATAAACAAGTGTGTACCTGACTTTACCAGATATACCCTTTGGAAGAAGGCGAAACTTCGGAGAGATGCTCTACCATGCCTCGTAAGAAGTGCCAAACTACCAACGAGATGCTTTCCTCTCCACTCTCCTAGTGCTAGTCTCGATGCTTCCTGCTTTTCCAGATTATCCTGAGTCATTAAAGAAGTCCACCATGGGCTTCAGACAAAACAAACCAGTGCGGTGGTGGCCCTACCTGTGAGTGAGTGTAAATGTTTATGCCCTCTTCAAACTCATATGTTAAAGCCTGAACTCCAATGTTACAGTGGTAAGTGGTGAAGCCTGGGAAATGATTGTGGCACAAAGGCTCCTCTGTCATTAGTGGGATTAGTGCCAACAAACACAAATGAGCCCCACGGGGCTCCCTGGATGCTCCACCACGTAAGTATATGAAAAAATGTTACTATCTATAAACAAAATATCAATCAAACAAACAGCAAAAAGACATTAATAAACAAGGATAAACTAAGGCATTCATCTTGGACTTCCCAACATTTAAAACTGGGAGAAGTATGTTCTATGAGTATAGGATCCTGTAGCCTGTGTTGTATTGTTATAGGAACCTGAATGAATTAATACAGTATGAGATCTGGGAAAGAGCACAGCCTAAAGTGACACTTCTGCTGCAAACTAGGTATGCACATCATTAAATACTTGCATAGTTCCTTAGTAAACAGTTTTGTATTGTGTGTGTGTGTGTGTGTGTGTGTGTTTAACATGTTTGTCAATCATCTTTGTAGCTCATGTCTGTAAACAATCCAGAAGCTGTTATAGCACCAGTCACTTCCCCAAATAGTAAGATTTAGAAATATTAGCATGTGCCTTTGTCATATTAATGGGATCAGGTACCTTTCAAGAGCATAATTTAATAATAACCTGAAAACCTACTTTATTGTTTTTGCTTCAAACATAAATCCAGCTCAAAGCAGGACTTTTCTAAATCCTATCCGGGCATCTTAACAGCTTATTCCAAGGCATCTTAGTTTCTCAAATCTCTTCATTGTATAAAAGTCTAAGTGGGCTCTAGTTTTAAATGCAAATGATATTTCTATAAATATATAACACATATATGTATATATAAATATACTATCTAACAATGCAATATGCATAGGTATGTATATTATAAAACTTTGCCAAAAGTATACCAAGTGACAATGACAAGCTTTGATACATGAAACTAGTAAAACTGTTCTATTGGGGAAAAAAAGATAGAGCTACATTTCAGAATTATTAGTCTTAAATTGCATCAAAAGAAAATTTTGATGAAGTCATGATTTTAACTAGCTTATGAAGATGTACTCATATGTTTCTACAAATCCAGTACATGTTCACCAAATTATACCATCAAGATGATTGTTGGGTTGCCTGATCCCTGCAGTGGTGATACTGGCTGAAAAGCTGACTGAAAAACATCTTATCTCAGAACTCCACCCTTCCCCAGGGAGCCACAGCCTTATCTTGCTACTTTGGAGATGGAACGAACCAGCTTACCGGAGTTAAGTGATTTATCTGTGGTGATCACCTTGTAGATGACAGTGTGAAATCTCTAGCTCATGCCCTCAGAGTAGAGATGTTACTTTTGTGGGAAAAAATAAGTTACATGGCACCATACTAGACTCTGAAAGGACTCTAAGAATTTGGCCCAGTTACTGATCTGCAAGTATATAGTTATCCAAACTCATAGAGGAGAAATGAAGGCTTATTAGTGAGAATGACACAAAATAGCACTTTTCAAAATAGAGAAATGAAGAAGATGCATTGGAACTATGTGACAGAAACCATGCAGGGGAATCAGAGTCCAGGTGCTCCAAGAGGTCCTATAGCTCCTGCCCACTGTGCACCCTGTGGACAGACCTGAGCCATGTGTACAGTCAAACCTCCTTTCAACTCTCACTTGCTTAGCCTTCCTCGGCCTTATAAAATGATAATGACGATGTCAGAAATGGATCATTGCCAATAGTGATGTATGTTTCTCCTTTAAAAATTATTGTCAAGAAAATGAACTTACTTCTGGAGAGATTCTCAAGGGCTTTCCCCAGCTTCTTGCTCTCCTGAAGGATGTGGTTCAATTCATCAAAATCACGGCTTTGTGGTTTAGTCCGCCAGCTCCACTTAGGATGGTCTACTGACCTTGGCACTATGTTTAAAAGAAATGGTTACTTCATAAGCATGCCGCACAAGGATACAAACTCACCATTTATCGTTGTGTAAGACTGCATCAAGATCAAAGTGCAGAATAAAAATGGTTAAGCTGGAGATGGTTTTCTTGTGAGTAAACAGCCAGGGGATTTAAAATTGAGCTTGAAGAAAATGTTTTAACCAATAAATAAAAGGAAATATGACAGCGATTATGGAAATGGGAAATTGAGCTACTGATTTAAATCTAATTACTTCTATAACTTAAGGGGAAACACAAGGGAAAAGTTTATTCTGCATAATGCTAAAATAAATTACTAAAAATAATTACTAACCTCATCATCAGCAACTAGTTAACATGTTTATAGATACCATCTTGATATGTCTTCTAAAAACATAAGAATGTATATATGTGTACATATCTATATCTATATATCTATATATGCCATAATTTCTCCTAAGTTCCCATTCAAGTTATGTTACAGTTAGGAAATATTTATTTTTCTTTCAAAAATAAATTGAACACGCAGAAGTGATTAGGTAAGGTTTGTCTCTGAGAAGACACAAAATGGAGTGATTAGCACTTGTGGGAATTAGCAAAGTAGAGAAAACAGAGCTCATAACCCAAAGAGTGGGATGCAAAGAAAGTCAACACATTATTTAAATAAGAATTCACCAACTCAGGAGCACAAGGTTAAAGCAATGAAGACATAAGAACTTAAAGATTTCCCAGATATAGAGTCGAATTATAGGGCCCATCAAAACTCAACTTCTGTTATTTCAAGTTTTTAAACAATGTAAGTTTTGGGGACAATAATAAGAAATTGGATTAAGAACAGACTTAGCAATATTGCAATAAAGAAGAGTTTTTAAACATTCCAGAAGAAAGATATTTCTAACTCAAAATTTTATACAAATCAGTGATCCAATTGCAATATTTAAAGTTTTTGAGAGTTCTAAGAAAGTTGCTGGAGGGTGTGCTCTAACTCAATGAATAAATAAACCAAAATCTTAAAATACTTGGAAGCAGGAATTGGTGAAATCTAAAAGAAAGAAAAGGGAGGATTCTCATGAGGACAGGGAAGGTGGTATGAATATACAGTTGGAAAATATCTATGGGTAAATAAGTTAAGAATTAAGGAAGACAGCAAAGGGCTGCAGGGGAGAGGTCTCCAAGATGCCATCAATGACATAAAGGAGGCAGGGCTTGAGGAAGCATAAGTGATGAATACACAGAAAGCAAGGCAAACAATGAAGAGCACATCATTAGTTCTAGAAAATATGAGTTTGTCTTGCTGATAAAACATTAATATAATTTTAGTGATATTGATGCAGAATACATCTTAGAGAAAATTTGAATTAAACACATTGCTCTGCTATAAGGATGAGATAGGAGTTGATGTGTGCATAGCAGAAGCAAAGTGTGAAGACAATTTGTAGGTGATGCCTCAAGTTCAAAAAGCTAAGAGCTGTTGAGAACCATATATGTTCAGATATGCAGACAAAGAAAGTAAAATAAACATTCAAAACATCTAAATTGATCCCAGTTAGAGTTGGGAAGGAAGAATAGCAGTACTGTGTTAGACAGCTCTACTTTGGAAGCATAAGAAAGAGTCGCTGAGAGAGTAGATAAAACAATATTGGTACCATATTCTTCAAAATTGTGATAGCCATGTTTGATAACCTGCTTTGAATAATTTCTTTGATCTGCAGTTTGTATTATTGCAACATCTAATTTGTTGTAAAATCATTTTTCTTCAAGATCTTTCCTTGCCTTTCAATTTATAGAATAGTGGAAAAAAACCACATATACTCTAAGTCCATGTCCAGGTGCCACTAGATCTATCCCTGAAATCCCTATGTTAACAAATCCAAGTGAGGCCAGCAGATGACATGACCCATCAATAACAAATCCTGAGAAACTATATAGCAACTTTAAGGCATTGGGTTTGAGGCACCTCACATAACACCAAAAGTGTCCTTGGCAACTTTACAGAGAATCTGAGATCAGTTCCTTTTTATATGCAAAGCCTGTGTTGAATCATGAATGTGAATGACAGCACGGGAACTAAATTCAGGATGACCGTGTGCATCTTATGATCATGGGCATCTTAACTACCCTTCCAGATTCAAAAGGTGTCTAGATAAATAATGGGAACAGGCTTGTGAAGTCAACAGTCCAACATGCAGTCCTGGATGAGAACATCTTTGTAGATTTTTGCCAAATGGAAACTATTGAAGTTGTCCTTCATTTTGGAACTCAGTGCTACAGTTACATTACAGCTTAGCAAATTTCTTCAGGACAGTGTCCCAACATAGTATGAGCCAGAGGATACAATGACAGAATTTGAGGACACTAAGAGTAAGCTCGCCCCAGTACAGGAGGGTGGCCACAGCACCACGGAGGTGGACTTCCCTTATTTCCCCATGAAGACCATATGCCACTTAACTGCCTACTGAGCCAGGTGATTTTTTTTAACAATTCCATATATTAATCAAATTCTAATTCACTTTTCATTAGTTGCTTCTGTTCATGCATTTGAAACTAAATTTATTGTTTCTTAATTATAATTCTTGTCTTTTTAACAGTATTTTATTTTTGAAATTCTACTATAATTACAAAAGTTCCCCTTCCCTTTCCTTCCTCCAGCCCCCTATGAACCTCCTCGCTCTCTCACTCCTTACTCTCTAGCTCAAATTAATAGCCTTTGTTCTTTGATATAAAAATAGTTTATGCATTCCTTTAATAAATGCATCTAACTTGTTCAGTCGATGTAATTTTGCTTGTATGTATATAATATACCAAGGGCTGAGAATTCGGTATTAGATAGACAATTGGCAGGATCTTTCCTAGGAAAGACTGTTTCTCTCATTCATAACATTCCTTGACAGTAGCCAACAATCTTCTAACTGGACTTAAGACCTGCTCAATATGAGGGAGATCATGCCTGGTAGTAGACACCCAGCAATCCATCTGGGGTTAGTGGTGAAGTTGTGGATGTCAGATGAGAACCTACAACCACACTTTACTAAATCAGCATAACCCTCATGAATTTTTAAGACCTAGTTGACCAAATTCTTTGAAGTAGAAATGAGAACTGTCATTGATGAATGTGTAAATATAAACAATTTCTGCAGAGGAGAGCCCAATATTGTCAGCCAGAAGTACTGCTGTTATCTGTACCAACTCTGTATTTTTGCCCCTTATTCAATTATAGTTCATAAAATCCCATAATGTACATATTTAGGCAATACCACATGGTTTTCATACATGTATGCATTATTCATATTTAAAAGAAGGTGAATACATCTGTGCCCTTCATTTGTTATTTCTTGATGGTGAGAACATTCAGAATTCTTTCAAGCTTTCTGAAATGCATGTGCATGGTCACCTGTGGTCATTCCACTATGCATGGTCACCTGTGGTCATTCCACTGTACATGGTCACCTGTGGTCATTCCACTATGCAGTAGTCACCTGTGGTCATACCATTGTGCATTGGTCACCTGTGGTCATTCCACTCTGCATGGTCACCTGTGGTCATTCCACTATGCATGGTCCCCTGTGGTCATTCCACTGTGCATGGTCCCCTGTGGTCATTCCACTGTGCAGTAGTCACCTGTGGTCATTCCACTATGCAGTAGTCACCTGTGGTCATTCCACTGTGCATGGTCACCTGTGGTCATTCCACTGTGCATGGTCACCTGTGGTCATTCCACTGTGCATGGTCTCCTGTGGTCATTCCACTGTGTAGTGGTAGGACACAGTTTCTTGATCCCCACTAGAACGTAACCTTACGAATTAAACTTCCCATTGAGATTTATTTATACCTTTCAGTTCTGATTTCTAAGTCAGCAGATATACCATGCTCTCCTTCCCAGTATTCCAGGAAGTATCCCCAGTACTATAGTGACAGTTGAATGAGAGTTGATTGAGGTGAGGTGCTGTCTCACCTCTGATTTCTGCACATAGCTTCTAAATGTTTGGACACTATTTTGATGTCTTTATTCTCTTGCATTTATGTAATCCGTAATCCTTATGCATCATCCTTTCCTTTTTACCCTAAAATTTTCCTGATAATCTCTACATATCTAGGTACTTCTGTTTATGTATTTTGTAATAAAACATCAAAAAGAGCATCTGGAGAGATGGCTTAGCAGCTAAGAACACTGGCTATTCTTCCAGAGGGCCTAGGTTTGATTATCAGCATGTACATGATAATTCACAATTATTTGTAAGTCTGTTTCCAGGGGATCTGATGTTCTTTTTTGGCCTCTATAGACACAAGGCATGCATGTTGTATATTGACATACATGCAGGAAAGACACCATACACATAAAATAAAATAATAATGAAAAACAATAAAGAGAAACTGAGACATATTCCCCCAAATGCAAAGAAAAGCACTAATAAAATTGCTGAGAGATGATTCCAGTTTTTTTGGTTTAACCTAAACCAACATATTTATATCATTTTCTTAACTATCTTATGAATATGAAATGGGCAAGAAGTATAAACATTTATTTATTTCCATGCATAGGAAATTGATGGACAATATCATTTTCATCATTCTGCCAACATTTTGTTCACTATAAGCAGTCATCCACAAACAAAGCAAGATTTTCTTGTTTGGAATCTTTTTTCTTGTTTTGTATTTTGAGACAGAGACTCAATTTGCAGCCCTTGCTAATCTCAAACTTACAAGACTCCTACCTTCCAGAAGTTGAATTACGGGCATGTGGACTAAATAAATAGGTTAAAAGAAAAAAAAAAGGGTCATAGACAGATTAGGGATAACTGGAGAATACCTGAACATAATAAAAGCAACTTTCAGTAAACCAAAGCTAACATCAAACTAAATGGAGAGAAACTCAACACAATTCCTCTAAAATCAGGAACAAGACAAGGGTGTCGACTCTCTCCATACCTCATCAATATTGTACTTCAAGCTCTAGCTAGAGCAATAAGACAACAAAAAGAGATCAAGGGGACACAAATTTA